CGTGCGCGTGTGTGTGAGTGTGTGTTGGTTTGGGTTTTTGTGGGTACACGTGGGTGTGGGTGTAGGTTTGTATGTGTGTGTTTCAAATAAAATAAAATTGAATTTGTCACACGCTTCGTTAACAACAGGAGTAGACTAACAGTGAAATGCTTACTTATGGGCCCTTCCCAACAATGCAGAGAGAGAAAAAATGATAATAGTAATACTTAATAATAATAGTAATAATTAACACATAATGAGTAAAGATAACTTGGCTATATACACGGGAACCAGTACCGAGTTGCAGGGGTACGAGGTAATTGAGGTAGATATGTACATATAACTAGGAATAAAGTGACTAAACAGTAGCAGCAGAGTCACAATAGCAAAAAAGGGACGGTTGAGCTAACGTGCACTAATGTGATTAGCATGACTGTTGTAAGTAACAGCAAACTTTCCAGGACGAAGACATGTCTTATATGGGCAGAAAGCTTAAATTATTGTTAATCTAACTGCACTGTCCAATTTACCGTAGCTATTACATTGAAAACATACCATGCTATTGTTTGAGGAGAGTGCACAACAACAAAAATCTTATCACGGCAACTTATTTGATACATTCACCTCTGAAGGTAAATAATGTACTTACATTCAGTAATCTTGCTCTGATTTGTCATCATAAGGGTCACAGAGATAAAATGTAGCATAGTTTTGTTTGATAAAATCAATTTTTATATTCAAATGTAGTAACTGGGTTCTACAGTTTGAACCCCTGCTGTCTCTGGCTCTACACCCACCACGCCCGGCCATCTAGATGTGTGAAAGTTTGTGTATAAGCTAATTATCCATCATGTATGAAATTCCTGGGAGTGTGTAAACTTACATTTTGTATTACCATATCATTTTTGTATGTTTTCTATAGTTATGTACTTGAAAAAGTGTTAATTGACCAATTCGGCACATTTGGGCAGACTTGATACAAAATAGTCCAGTTTTGCAATGCTTCACTGGATCAATCTGAAACTTTAAACACACACTGCTGCTATCTTCTAAATGGCAACTAAACTGCAATATTATATTGTGGCCTTTCTCTTGGATTTCAAAGATGATGGAACATAAAACAAAACAAAAAACTATTTTTGTTTGTATTATCTTTTACCAGATCTACTGTGTTATATTCTCCTACATTCATTTCACATTTCCACAAACAAAGTGTTTCCTTTCAAATGGTATCAATAATATGCATATCCTTGCTTCAGGTCCTGAGCTACAGGCAGTTCGATTTGGGTATGTCAATTTAGGCGGAAATGTAAAAAAAGGGTCCGATCCTGAAGAGGTTAAAAAAAGGGTACATGCAGATAGTCTGGGTAGCTATTTGGTTAACTATTTAACAAAGTATTTAGCAATCTTGTGTCTTGGGGGTAGAAGCCGTTCAGGGTCCTTTTGGTTCCAGACTTGGTGCATCAGTACCGCTTGCCGTGCGGTAGCAGAGAGAACAGTCTATGACTTTCTGAAGTGACTGGAATTGAAATGGAATTGACCCTAACCCTGCCAGACATGTTAAGGGCTTATGTATTGTATGTTTACAATGACAACCAATGTTGCTTTCCTTTCCATCTTCCACCACAACATTCATAGCAACAACTGATCATACTACCACTGTTTCACTATAGTGCCTCAGCAATTAATTCTACTATTACATACTGTATTGTGAAAATGATCTACTGTATGGATAATGAATGAAGATGATTGCAATACAAGCAAATTAATGATGACTTATTCACAGGAGTTGTAAGCCTGCTCCTAACCCATGTAGACAGTGCGCTAACAGGTAAGACCACCTTTCTGTTTCCTGTAATGTTTTTTATTATTATGTTAAATTATGTTTTTGTGTACTCTCATTATCCTAATCCTAATAGATAACTTTGTTAATCTGTTTTTAAAAGGTAATTGGACAAGACAAAGTTCAAGTTGCAACTTGACCTAAGCATGTTGAATTAGAGTACTGTAAAATGATTAGCAAACAATCAGGATTCAATGACTTGTGTTTCAGCGTGAAGCTCACAGAAGGCCAATGATGGGGACAGAGGATCTTGCAACAGCACTTACTGGCAAACCAACCCCACAAGTGTCTTGGAACTCGTCTGAAGTTCTTCTGTCTTCTGTCCATAGCGTCCGAACAGTTTGGGCTACACACAAATGCGTACATGTCGGTTGTTTTGCTCTAGGATGCCCACAGGACTCGTCTGAATGTCCCTAGGTACCAGTTGAAAAAATTCATGTTATTCGTGAACGAGGTGAACAAGTCTGGACGAGACAGACAGGCAGGCAGCGTTTCTCAGCCAGTCTAAATCATGAATCAGCTGGCATCATTTTTGTGTATATATACAACAAAATGTCAATTGAAAAAAGGTAAAACGAAACGAAGTGCAGCTAGTTAAAAGTCTTTCCAACTTCAGTTTTGTAACGAAGATGCTGGGTGTCGGGAAGCAGGTGCAGTCGGTGAGTTTAATAAGATCAAACATAGAGTGGATACAGGATCAAGAGTAGCATCTGAACATAACACAGAAACAATATTGCTTGATGGGTGATAACAAAGGAGTGCTAGATAACGGAGGAGTAATCAGGGAAGTGATGAAGTCCAGGTGTGCCTAATGATGAGGCACAGGTGTGCGTAATGATGGGTTGCCAGGACCGGTGTTTAGTAGACCGGCGATGTCGAGCGCTGGAGAGGGGGACTTTGAATGGCCCCACAAACCGGGGGCTCAACCTTCCGGCAGGTGGAGCAGGAGGTTCCTGATGGAGAGCCAGACGCGATCACCAGGATGGAATACGGGTGCTTCAATACGGTGAAATAGCGGGCGACGTCCTGCGCACAAGGTGGGCCACCAGTACTTAACGGAAATGGATTGAGTTGTGTGGGTGATACCTGGGCGTCCAGCTGCGAGGGATGTTTGCACCCAGGTCAATAGCCAATCCCTTACCTCCATGGGAATGTAGGTGCGCTCCAGAGGACAGGTCGTAGGCGCGGGTTCCCTCTCCAGAGCCTGGAGGATGTCCACGTCTATGTCCCAAAGCACAGGAGCAACCATTCGGGAGGGCGGTATGATGGGCACACTCAGGACAACAACCTCTCCCGAATTGTGGAGATGGGACACGGTATCGGCTTTGATGTTCTTTGAACCTGGGCGGTATGACAGGGTGATGTTGAATCTGGTAAAGAAGAGAGCCCACCTTGATTGGTGGGGGTTCAGCTGCCAGGTTTTGATGGTCGATGAGGATGAGAAATGGGTCCGTGGCGCCCTCTAGCCAGTGTGTCCACTCCTCTAATGCCAACTTCACCGCCAGGAGCTCCCAGTCGCCGACGTCATAGTTCCTTTCTGCAGGAGACAGTTTTTTAGAGTAGTATGCACACGGATGCCATTTATGTGGATTACCTTGACGTTGTGACAGAACGGCCCCCACGCCCACTTCTGAGGCATCCACCTCCACCACGAAGGGCAGCATAGGATCTGGGTTTTTTAGCAATGGGGCGGAAGGTAAAACGCCCCTTCAGTAGGCGGAAGGCCTCATTGGCTGCAGGACTCCACACCATCTTACGGGGACCACCTTTGACGAGAGAGGTGAGAGAAGAAGCAATGGAGCTGAAATTGTAATTGTAATCCCCATTAATAATTCACATTTCCTTTCCTGCTGTAGCAAAACATATACAGTACCAGTCAAAACACACCTAATCATATATTTGAGATTCTTCAAATAGCCACCCTTTGCCTTGATGACAGCTTTGCACACTCTTGGCATTCTCTCAACCAGCTTCACCTGGAATGCTTTTCCAATAGTTCCCACATATGCTTATCACTTGTTGGCTGCTTTTCCTTCACTCTGCCGTCCGACTCATCCCAAACCATCTCAATTGGGTTGAGGTCGGGGGATTGTGGAGGCCAGGTAATCTGATGCAGCACTCCATCCCTCTCCTTCTTTGTCAAATAGCCCTTACACAGCCTGGAGGTGTGTTGGGTCATTGTCCTGTTGAAAAACAAATGATAGTCCCACTAAGCGCAAACCAGATGGGATGGTGTATCACCGCAGAATGCTGTGGTAGCCATGCTGGTTAAGTGTGCCTTGAATTCTAAACAAATCACAGACAGTGTCACCAACAAATCACCCCCACACCATAACTCTCCTCCTCCATTCACCCACACTGCATCTCACAAAGACACGGCGGTTAGAACCAAAAATCTCACATTTGGACTCCAGACCCAAGGACAAATTTCCACCGGTCTAATGTCCATTGCTCGTGTTTCTTGTCCCAAGCAGGTCTCTTCTTATCATTGGTGTCCTTTAGTAGTGGTTTATTTGCAGCAATTTGACCATGAAGGCCTGATTCACACAGTCCCCTCTGAACAGTTGATGTTGAGCTGTGTCTGTTACTTGAACTCCGTGAAGCATTTGTTTGGGCTGCAATTTCTGAGGCTGGTAACTCTAATGAACTTATTCTCTGCAGCAGAGGTAACTGTGGGTCTTCCTTTCCTGTGGAAGTCCTCATGAGAGCCAGTTTCATCATAGCGCTTGATGGTTTTTGCGACAGCACTTTAAGAAACTTTCAAAGTTCTTGAAATGTTCCGTGTTGACTGACCTTTATGTCTTAAAGTAAATATGGACTGTCGTTTCTCTTTGCTTATTTGAGCTGTTCTTGCCATAATATGGACTTGGTCTTTTACTAAATAGGGCTACCTTCTGTATACCCCCCTACCTTGTCACAAGTCAACTGATTGGCTCAAACGCATTAAGAAGGAAATACATTTTCATTTGTTTAACACTGTTTTGGTTACTACATGATTCCATATGTGTTATTTCGTAGTTTTGATGTCTTCAATATTATTCTACAATGTAAAAAATTGTAAAAATAAAGAAAAACCTTTGAAGGATTAGGTGTGTCCAAACATTTGACTGGTATTGTATATAGTTCAAATACATTGAATACAGGGTGTTCTCCAAGGACAGGTTTGAGAAATGCTGCCTCAGTGGTGTGTGTGTGTGTGTGCATGCGTGTGTGTGTATGTGTGTGGGTGTGTTTGCAATGACACACACACCATGGTCTCTGTCAGATACAGGGCTGCCTTTACTGTTTTCTCCAGTAGAAGGCACTCATTCCCACCTACGCTGCCCCCTACTGGTCCCACCGCATGCAACAGCATCTTACAAGGCAGCTTCCCTCCTGTGGTCTCTACCACTGTACCTGTGGGTACTCTCCCTATCTGCCTAACCAGATCCCTGCTGGCCCACTGTACCTCAGGTCCCCCAGCCTGGCTCAGAGCTGCAGCCACGCCCCCAGCATGATCCAGGTCCTCATTGGCTGCGTTTAACAGCGCGTCCGCCTGTTCCTTGGTGATGTCACCCTGACACCTCACTACCTGCAGCCCTCCTACCGTCTTGGTCCGGCGCCCGCTTCACCGGCAACGCCACCATGGTTTTGCTGCTGGATGAGGCAGTGTTGAGAGCGGACCCCCGCACCCATGTACACCATTCCCAGGCCCTGGAAGTACCGTAGCACCCCCTGCTGGTCTATGGTCACAGTCTGGTGGACCAAGGAGGCCAGAGCGGGTAAGGAGATAGCTCCTCCACACTGGACTGGTCTAAAAGAAAGGCCCAAATCTCCCCCCTCAGTTCCATAACCTGCTTCATGTGGCTCAGCAGCTGCACATGGACACTACCTGGCAACTGCTCTGGTTCATCTCCATCACCTTCTTCTCAAGCTTCGACTTCAGTTCAGCCGGCATGGCGGAACAGTTGGGCAAGTCGATCTTCTCCTCCCTAAACTCCCCCAGCAGATCCTTCTCAGCCTGGTCCAGTTTCCAGGAGGACAGGGCGAACAGGCGGAGCTCTGTGTCACCAAGCTCTACTTCCACATGGCGTTCCAACCCCAGCAGGCTGCTCAGGTGCTCAGGCTTCCCATACTCCTGCCTCAAGAAGGACAGGAGGTGGAGGGAAACCTCATGCACCACCTGCTTTCTGGCTTTCCGGACTTCACTTGCTGAACCCTCCAGTACCAGCTAAGCTGAATCACAAGACGTCACCCACACCCCTGGAACAACCTCACCTAGATCCTTTTCTATCACTTCCCCTAGAAGAAGGAGCTTGGCCTGTCCCAGACGACAGGTGGTGCTGATCTTCTCCTGCTTCCCAGAGCTCAGACCCTGACCCTGGAAGGCCTCCAGCTCCTTCAGCTTGGCCTGGAGCTCGGCCCCCTCTCTTACCACCACCGCAAACCCTTCCCCTGCCTCGCAGTACACCCTCACATCCTCTGAACCCAGGGTACTTCTCTGTAGCAGAGTCTGGAGCTTACATGGGTCTACCTCACAGTGGCATTTGTACTGCTCCTGGAGCTGAATGAACAGTCTCTCTACCTGTACCTTCCATGGTCCCACCCCAACCCCGATCCCATCTCCATCTCCACATGACACAGCCTGAATCTCTGACCACATATTATAATATCACATAAACCAAACATGCAATAAAATCAGTGCAGACTATTTTGGCCTTATTTGAAGGGATAATAAAGTAATTACCTGACAGGCAGATCAACGATACATGACTAAACTTGGTGTTTACTGGGATGCAAATACAACAACAGTGCATTGACGTGTGTGTGTATATTTTGACCTCATATTATGGAAAATAAATGTTGTATCTAACAGGATATGTGACTCAGTATGTACTGTGTAGGTGTGTCTGTTTACTATGGCCTCACCTCCTGACTGCTGACTGGAGAGGTTGTTGTGGGTGGAGGCTCCAGGCTGCCTCTCAGAGTGAGGGAGAGAGGTCCTCCAGGCATCTCCAACACATGATTAGGTTTCTGAAGTACCCTCTCCTGTACTGGAAGAGTTACAGCGTCATAATGAGTTGTTGTTGTTGTCATGACAGCATGTACTGTATGTACTGTACTTTGTAGGCGGCAGGTAGCCTAGCGGTTAAGAGCGTTGGGCCAGTAACCAAAATGTCGCTGGTTTGAATCCCTGAGACGAACAGGTGATCAATCTGTCAATGTGCCCTTGAGCAAGGCACATAACCCTAATTGCTCCTGGAAGTTGTCATCAACTGATTCTACTGGTCCCCAATCTCCAGCGAATTTCAAAGTACTTTTTTATCTTCTGTTTTTGTGATGGGTTCAAATTCTGGCCCTTGAACAAAACAAGGTATTTGTAAACTTGTTATACAATAAAGTATTTAGCATATAGACAGGGAGCAAGTCACTACGCTTACTACGCTAGACTGCCACTGCTGCCAAGTTTACCTCGAAATTACCACACCTGTGGTAGGTGGTACTACACACGCATGCGTTCATCTCTAGGTTTATTCTTTGATCAGATTTTAATTGATGGTGATGGATTAAAACAGATATTGTGTGTGTGTGTGTGCTGTATTTGGCCATGTGTGTGACTGAAGAGTTATTATAGTCAACACCTGGTAGATATACGGGTATAACAAGAACTACAGGTAACTGCCTAAATGAAAGAAACACCAACATAAAGTGTCTTAATAGGGTGTTGGGCCACCACGAGTGTCTGGATGCAACCCCAACACCATTCTTCTAAGAAATTCCATCATTTGGTGTTTTGTTGATGGTGGTGGAAAACGCTGTCTCCAGTGCCGCTCCAGACTCTCCCATAAGTGTTGTATTGGGTTGAGATCTGGTGACTGAGACGGCCATGGCATATGGTTTACATCATTGTCATGCTCATCAAACCATTCAATGACCACTCGTGCCCTATGGATGGGGGCATTGTCATCCTATGGGGGCATAGTTATGTAGCCAAAATAATGGCCTGACAACCATTTTTAAACATGGCCCTAAGCATGATGGGATGTTAATTGCACATTTAACTCAGAAACCACACCTGTGTTTCCATTATTGTGGCAGTTACTTGTATATAACAATGTGTTCAGTCTGTTCTGTGCTAGCATTCCACTCCTTGCAACTCCTTGTTATGCCAACCATTTTGTTTCATGTTTGACATGGCAAGGAGTGGAAAAGAGTGTAATGTTAGCACAAACAGACTGCATTTCAGATAACAATGTGTACCTACACTGTGTAATTACACTGTACCTGGTTATGTAGCTACCATGTAAATACGTATATTTCTGAATACTTAATATATTGTAAAGTAGGACCAATACATTTGATTATATAACCATGAAGAGATTGGGAATGTTTTGTACAGAATTAGTATAATGCAGTAATGATTATCATAGAAATGTAAATATACACTGCTCAAAAAAATAAAGGGAACACTTAAACAACACAATGTAACTCCAAGTCAATCACACTTCTGTGAAATCAAACTGTCCACTTAGGAAGCAACACTGATTGACAATAAATGTCACATGCTGTTGTGCAAATGGAATAGACAACAGGTGGAAATTATAGGCAATTAGCAAGACACCCCCAATAAAGGACTGGTTTTGCAGGTGGTGACAACAGACAACTTCTCAGTTCCTATGCTTCCTGGCTGATGTTTTGGTCACTTTTGAATGCTGGCGGTGCTTTCACTCTAGTGGTAGCATGAGACGGAGTCTACAACCCACACAAGTGGCTCAGGTAGTGCAGCTCATCCAGGATGGCACATCAATGCGAGCTGTGGCAAGAAGGTTTGCTGTGTCTGTCAGCGTAGTGTCCAGAGCATGGAGGCGCTACCAGGAGACAGGCCAGTACATCAGGAGACGTGGAGGAGGCCGTAGGAGGGCAACAACCCAGCAGCAGGACTGCTACCTCTGCCTTTGTGCAAGGAGGAGCAGGAGGAGCACTGCCAGAGCCCTGCAAAATGACCTCCAGCAGGCCACAAATGTGCATGTGTCTGCTCAAACGGTCAGAAACAGACTCCATGAGGGTGGTATGAGGGCCCGACGTCCACAGGTGGGGGTTGTGCTTACAGCCCAACACCGTGCAGGACGTTTGGCATTTGCCAGAGAACACCAAGATTGGCAAATTCACCACTGGCGCCCTGTGCTCTTCACAGATGAAAGCAGGTTCACACTGAGCACATGTGACAGACGTGACAGAATCTGGAGACGCCGTGGAGAACGTTCTGCTGCCTGCAACATCCTCCAGCTGTCACGCCCTGACTCAGGGGACGCTTATTTGTTGAGTCAGGGTGTGTATATTCTATGTTGTGTAGTTCTATGTTTTCTATCTAGTATGTCTAGATCTATGTTGGCCGGTGTGGTTCCCAATCAGAGGCAGCTGTCGCTCGTTGTCTCTGATTGGGGACCATACTTAGGCAGCCTATTGGCACTAGTGAGTTGTGGGATCTTGTTCTATGTAAGGTATGTTTTGTGTTCTACCTTGGACTTCACGTTTCGTTTAGTTTGTTGTTTTGTCGTGTTGTTTATTAAGTTAAAATAAACATACGCATATCACGCTGCGCCTTGGTCTGACCCATCTATGAACGAACGTGACAGAAGATCCCACCAAACGAGGACCAAGCAGCGTGCCCAGGCGGAGAGAGTAGCCATGTCACAGGTGGGCAATTGGTGGTCATGGGAAGAGATATTTGCGGGAAAAGGACCCTGGGCAAAGAAGGAAGCCCAGGCAGGAGAGAAGCAACGGCAACACGGAAGCCGGCCGAGGAGGAAGCCCGAGAAGCAGCCCCAATAAAATGTTTGGGGGGGGCTAAAGGGGTGGTCGGGGAGCGAGAAAGAAGAGCCCCGACCACTGCACCCGGTTGGTTTCCAGATTGGGTCCCTACGACCATTGGAAGAGGAGTGGGAACAGTATTATACTGAGGAGTCGGAGGATGACGACGACGACGAGTTTCTGTTCCCTAACTCGTGGGGGCTCCCGGAGGAGTCCTCACGGGAAGAGGAGTGCCAACGACGGAGACCCGAGAGGCAACCCCAAGAAAAAATGTTGGGGGGGCACACGGTGTGGACGACGAGGCAGCAGGAGGCCGCGACAGGGCGGATCTGCAGGTTAGGAGAGGAGGCCACCATGTTACGGGGGCTGTTGGCTCAGAGGGAGCAGGAGTTATTCGGTCAGAGAGAGGCGCTACAGGAAGCTAAAAGGGAGAAGGAAAAGGTAGAGGCACGGCGAGAGGAGCTGGTTAGGCAGCAGAAGGAGCGAGGGTTAATAAAGGAACCCAGTCCTGCTCCTCGCACCAAGCAAGTGGTGCGTGTCGCCAGTCTGGTCCGGCCCGTTCCTGCTCCCCGCACCAAGCCAGTGGTGCGTGTTCCCAGTCCGGCCCGGCCCGTTCCTGCTCCCCGCACCAAGATAGTGGTGCGCGTCGCCAGTCCGGCCCGGCCCGTTCCTGCTCCTCGCACCAAGCCAGGGGTGCGCGTCGCCAGCCCGGCCCGGCCTGTTCCTGCTCCTCGCACAAAGCCAGCGGTGCGCGTCGCCAGTCCGGCCCTGCCTGTTCCTGCTCCTCGCACCAAGCCAGTGGTGCGCGTCGCCAGCCCGGCCTGTTCCTGCTCCTCGCACCAAGCCAGTGGTGCGCGTCGCCAGCCCGGCCCGGCCTGTTCCTGCTCCTCGCACCAAGCCAGTGGTGCGCGTCGCCAGCCCGGCCCGGCCTGTTCCTGCTCCTCGCACCAAGCCAGTGGTGCGTGTCGCCAGCCCGGCCCGGCCTGTTCCTGCTCCTCGCACCAAGCCAGGGGTGCGCGTCGCCAGCCCGGCACCGGTCAGCTGCTCCACTCCGGAGACAGAGCAGTCCGCTCCACCGGTGCCTGATCCAGCTCCGGTCAGCTGCGCCACTCCGGAGCCAGAGCAGTCCGCTCCACCGGGGTCTAGTCCAGCTCCGGTCAGCGGCTCCACTCCGGAGCCAGAGCAGTCCGCTCCACCAGTGCCTGATACAGCTCCGGTCAGCGGCTCCACTCGGGAGCCAGAGCAGTCCGCTCCACCGGTGCCTAGTCCAGCTCCGGTCAGCGGCTCTAGTCCAGACCATGACGTCAGCCCCTCTCCAGGTTCGGGGTCTCCCACACCAGGGTCCAGACAGGCGGTGGGTCAGTCATGGTGTGGGGGGGGGCCGCACAGCCCTCCATGTGCTCGCCAGAGGTAGCCTGACTGCCATTAGGTACCGAGATGAGATCCTCAGACCCCTTGTGAGACCATATGTTGGTGCGGTTGGCCCTGGGTTCCTCCTAATGTAAGACAATGCTAGACCTCATGTGGCTGGAGTGTGTCAGCAGTTCCTGCAAGAGGAAGGCATTGATGCTATGGACTGGCCCGCCCGTTCCCCAGACCTGAATCCAATTGAGCACATCTGGGACATCATGTCTCGCTCCATCCACCAACGCCACGTTGCACCACAGACTGTCCAGGAGTTGGCGGATGCTTTAGTCCAGGTCTGGGAGGAGATCCCTCAGGAGACCATCCGCCACCTCATCAGGAGCATGCCCAGGCGTTGTAGAGAGGTCATACAGGCACGTGGAGGCCACACACACTACTGAGCCTCATTTTGACTTGTTTTAAGGACATTACATCAAAGTTGGATCAGCCTGTAGTGTGGTTTTCCACTTTAATTTTGAGGGTGACTCCAAATCCAGACCTCCATGGGTTGATACATTTGATTTCCATTGATATTTTTGTGTGATTTTGTTGTCAGCACATTCAACTATGTAAAGAAAAAAGTATTTAATAAGATTATTTCATTCATTCAGATCTAGGATGTGTTATTTTAGTGTTCCCTTTATTTTTTTGAGCAGTGAACATACTGCTCAAGGTAGCAATACTTTAAGTATATTTTCAGTGTATGCAGTTCATTTGACATAAAAGTGTAATATTAATCAGTGAATGTATATTTGAATTTGAAGGCATGTACATACAGTACCAGTCAAAAGTTTGGACACACCTACTCATTCAAGGGTTTTTCTACATTGTACAAT